ATCCAACCATAGGGGAGAGGGTTGTGTATACAGCAAACAAGGCTGTGGATATAGCCCCTAGCAGTTTTATTATATCTGCTTTATCTGAAAAATGAAGTCATGGTTTATAATTGTCTGAAAGTACATGTCAGTCAACTAATCATGGTGTGATTATTCAAAAGCACAAATTGAATGGCCCGTAAAAAATAAAAAAGAAAAAGCATAAATTGAAAGGAACTTTTAAAATCAAAAGAAATATTTTATTTTGAAATCGAACTTCTTTTTGTTTTAAAACTATCTTAAGAAAGAACAGTTGTCACATTTTCTCACATCATTTTAATTCAAACCCAAATGCTTCAGTCGATTTCAAGAGTTTCTTTTAAATTTTACTTCGGATTTGGCTCATGAATTTGTGGATAATTCTTGTTGAATTTCAACTTCAATTACATGCAGCTTTAAACTCTCTTAATTAATGGGTTATGCCAATGCAAATTGCTTTCTCCTTTTACCTTACTCTACTAAAATTGGAATAGTGATTAGTTTTCTAAAACGGATTAAAATTTTATCAGAGTGGGGAGTGGCTATGTCCATTGCTTGAACGGCCATATTCATAACCCTCCGACATAGTGGGACTTGTCTATGTAAGTGGGAAAGGTTATGGGTACAGCTGCATGTGATGTAGATTTAGTACCACTCCAAAATATTTACACTTTGGTTGATGATAATAGCACACCAAAAATATGCTTATCATTTGAAAGCATGCTTTATTTTGTAAAATTCTTGACTAATTTTATAGATTGTGAATCATGTTATTTATATAGTTTATAGAATTGTATATTTACCTTGGGTTCTTAATATATGTTTTTAGAGTACACCACTACCACCTCACCTACTTCACTAAACCTAACCCACTACACCTACATCTATATAAGGAACCATTTGTAATAGACAGAAAATAAATTAATACATCAATCAATAATACATCAATCATAACATGGTATCAGAGCCAAGTTAAGCACTTAGTATTTTTCGCTTCACCGGCGGGCGGCAACCTCGCCTTGGTCGCCCGCCGGACCTCAACCTAGTCCGCTAGAATTTTCTGCACATCCCTTGAAATTTCTTCGAGTCCACCACCTTCACGCCCAACTCCTTCGAGTCACTGTCCTTGACTCACCCAGTCAATCCACACATACACATATATATAAATGAGGTGTAAGAAACACCTTACCGATCTCAGTAGCAGCGTCGGTGTCTGCGGTTCTTGTCTCCGGGAACGATTCTTTGCTCTAATCGCAGCTCAAGCACAAGTCCAATCTCAAATTCGAGCTCAACAATTCCATCTCGAACAAGAAGATCGCCGGAAAACTGATCCTCTTCCACCACCTCTCGTTTTCCCTCGCTCTGCATCGCCGTACGTCTGTCGCCGTGAATCTGGAATCTCCGGCCACCACCACCACTCGCTATCCGATCAGTTGCTCCACACGATCCCATCCTTCTATAAGGTTTTCATACTTTCCAATATCAGATGGTTCGGTGGCATAAGGAAAACTGGCAGCAGAACTTGGAAAGTTATTATCACAGTTGTTGAACTTGCTTTGATGACCTCGAACAAGCCATTTTCAAGAAAAAAAAAAAAAAAAAAACAGATCGCACTTCCTTGGGAGAAGAAAGTGTGGCCAGCAACTTTGCAAATGCTTCAAAAGTAGATGCCTCAGCATTCTCAGTTTGTGATGGAGGAGGAGGATCAAGTCCTCTTGGTAAGAGTGCATTACAGATTTGATCGTATTGACCACTTGACCCATCTTTTCTCTCTCCATCTATATTTACCCGACGTTGTGGGAACAACTTGCAAATCTGTTTGATAACAACAGACTGTTTGTGGAGACGTTCCGAGATTTTGTTCTCTCTCGACGAATCGAACTCCGAATTTGGCCGGAGAACCGCAAGGTACAGAGGTTTGGGACTCTAGAGAGAGAGAGATGGTGTTTCTGTCACACCTTTCTGCTCTGTCCCCAACGGGAATCTAGCCCTATCTCTCTCTCTCTCTCTACTCAAGGACCTCCACGAGGGTGACCACTTTCCAACCCATATTTTTTTCTTTTTCTTTCTTTCCACACACTCTTGTTCCCCACTCAACTTTCTTTTCCTTTTTTTTTTTTTTTTATTATATTTCTTTTACTCCATCTTTTGACAAGTACACGACGACACACACTGTTTTGCACACCCATCAGCTTCTTTATTTTATCACTTTATTTTATTTTATCTTCCCTTTTTCCTCCATAAATAAATAAATAAATAAAATAATAATAAAAAAAAAAATACAGCTTTGCACACCAACCTTCCCTTATTTTATTCATGTCGGGGCTCACCCCGATCACCATTTTACATCAAAAACAAAACAAAACAAAACCAAACAAACAAAACCCCAACAACCACATCCACAGGCGGGATTTTTTTTTCTCTACTCTGCAGCCGGTCTCTTCTTCTTGCCTCCATCTTGGACGGCCCTTGACGGTGTTGCCTCCGTGCTTCCTAGACCACCAAGCAAGTTGCCTCCTCCCTGCTCCTCTACTACAGCATATGGTGGCCCTCCAAATCGGAACATCACGGTGGCCTTCCGCTTCAGCTCCTTGTTTTCTGCCTTTAGCGCACTTATCTCTGCTCGCGCATCCTTATACATGCGTTGGAGCAGAGCCAGTTGGGCGTTTAAATGCTGCACCTCATTTGTCCTACTTTGAAGCCGGTGCGACAAGTTTGTGACCGCAGTCATGGTTTCCACACATGACTTTAAAGTATACTGATTGGCCTCAATATCAGTTTGCACCGCCATTTTTTGCTCCGCCGACTGCATCGGAAAGTTCAACGGAGCAAACACAGAGGTGTTTGGTTGAGGTTCACTAGCCACCGCACCAGTTATCTCTCTTGTTGACTCATTGAGGTCGGGAAAGAGAGTGAGCAGACCACGGGACGAAGAGGCCATATTCTGGGTAGCTGGTTGGGAAGAAGAGGCCATGTTTTGGGTTGCTAAGTGTTTCAGCGAAATAGCAATTTCAGACTGGTAATGTTCGGAAGGGTTGGTTACAGAGTATTTCAAGATTTGCAGCTCTTAGAGGCAATCTCTCAGAAAACGAATATCTCTCTCAGAAAATGAAGAGTTTTTTCAGAAGTTTTTTCACAAGGTTTTTTTGTCTTCGCTTCTGCCTCAAGCACAGCCTCCGCCTCAGTTTATAAAGACCCTGACGAAGAGGCAGACACGCGCATCATGCGCCGCTCGGCGCTCGACGACAACATGGGCGCGCCTTTTGATGGCCCGTCTTTTGATGGCACGCCTTTTGATGGCACGCCTTTTTATAGATTGGGCACGCCTTTTTATAGATTGGGCACGCCTTTTTTGACAGATTGGGCACACCTTTTGAGGGTGCGACTTTTTATGGGTCCGACAAGACTTTGTAAACTGTCCCGACATTGATTCCAGTTAGTTTCTACAAGGGTCCGACAAGACTCTGTAAATTGTTACAACAACTGTCACCACATTGTCTGCTACAACGGTCCGATATGACCCCATAAACTGTCTTCTACAACGGTCCGACTTGACCCCATAAACTGTCTTCTACAACGGTCCGACATGACCCCATAAACTGTCTTCTACATCGGTCTGACACCGCCATCCAGTGTCCTCTACACCGTTATGACACCACCATACAGTGTCCTCTACAACGTTATGACACCACCATCCAGTGTCTTCACCAATGGTCTGACACAACCATACAGTGTCTCCTATCCTCTTTTATTTTTATGTATTTTCTTGTTTTATTACTCTCTCCAAACTCAAGTTGGTTAGTTTCTATCCTCCTTGAGTTTGCGGGGGGCTGTTAAAATTTATCAATAAACCTACCACCACTACCACCTCACCTACTCCACTAAACCTAACCCACTACACCACTACCACCTCACCTACTCCACTAAACCTAACCCACTACACCACTACCACCTCACCTACTTCACTAAACCTAACCCACTACACCTACATCTATATAAGGAACCATTTGTAATAGACAGAAAATAAATTAATACATCAATCAATAATACATCAATTCTAACAGTTAATAATGACAACTGGCCTATGGCACTTAAGTTTTAGAAAAGTCTTGACATTAGAGACTTAATTCATTGGGTTTATAGTCAAGTTACGAAGTAACTCATTAATTTAGTTAATTGAGGGTGTGGTTTTGCTGCTGTTGTCTTGATGCAGTCATGTCTGGTTGCTAAGGTTCCATTGTGTGCATTTTTGACTTCCACTATGGAAATGTAATAATAGGAGATCTGTCATTATTGACTGCCACAACAATAATGTATGGAAATGTGGCGGGAGATCTCTCAGTCTGAGGGTGTATATTTGCATTTACAATTAATGTAAAAAGTTGTTAAAATGCTGTCTAGCCAATGACGCAGAGTAGAAGAAGCACAAGGAAGAGTAAATTCAAAGAAGCGGCAATATTTGGAAATTCAGCTTTAAAGTCGTCGCAGAGCTGTCCTACATCAGCCATGTTTTAGAATGGTGCAAGTACATTAAACTACGGTGGTTAAACAAAATAGTAGTGAATGAACTTTCCATTTATAATGTTTTGAGACATTTTTTGGTTTTTAGAGGAAAAATCTGTTTTGCCCAAACCCAAACTAATAATTGACGAAAAAATTATCTCTATAGCACAAAATACTTCCTAGTTTAGATTACAAAGATTATTTTTTATTTATTTATTTATTCTTTTTGTTCTTTACGTTTCTAGATATATAAAAATACACTGGAATTCCTATGGAAACTTTTACATTAAATAAAATGTTTTTGACACTTTCTAGTGGCTTTTCAATGAAGTAAAAACTGGGACATCTAGAAAAGAATCAATTATGGAAATGTAGAAAAGTTATCAATTTTAGTGATCTGATCCCATATTTTATTATTTATCCTTTCTTAACTTATACGGTGATCAGTTGTTCTAACTTGAGTTATTGTTGCCTGTTAGATCATTCATATTCTAGAGGAAGAGTGGTCAGAGCAAGAGAGCAATAGAGGTGCAGAGCAAGTTGAGGTAAAATCTGCCTTAGTGTTCTGGTGAAAGTACATTGTGTACTGGAGCTATTTTTTAAGATTTAATTCCATTATGAATTCTTCAACTTAAGCTTCTAGCAAAGCTTAATTGCTTCAAAAAGTTATTGTCTCGATTTTGTGCTTTGGTACTTTTCAGGAGCCAACTTCACTGACATTAAAACAATTTTTAGATTCATTCAATGGGGATGAGAACAAGGAAGTACAAGGTGTTTTTGATGCCTATAGGAGGGACAGCCAAGGTGATAGTAGTGACAATCCAAAAGATTCCTTGTATTTAGATGAGGCCACTACTGAGATTATGAAAATACTTGTTTCAAAAAATCAAGTCACAATGCCTTGGGAAAATTGGAATTCCACATCAAAGCTTATCAAGGTCGATGACTATATGATCCTTGAGAACTTGGCACCCATCTTAGGAACCTTGTTTGGGAAATATGGGGACTTCAGTGGCATGTCCAATTTGAGTCCAAAGGCAAAGATGTTATACATAATGACAGTATGTGATGCTGTAAACAGCATGTTGAGTACCAAGGTCAAGAACATTACCAAAAATGTACTATTGAGTTGGTTTCACTGCTTCATGCTTGGCCACTTTGCTGGCTTTGAAATTCAATTTGCCTCTGGTCGTTTGACGAGAGTGGTGCGTTCTCACTTTGGTCTCCAAGCTGATGTTTCTACAGACCTCACCCTTGCCAAATTGGATGAAGAGATTGGAGAGCAACGTGCACTGTTAGATTCTAAAGAGATCATCGCTTCCGAACAAGATAGGGAGATTGATAAGCTCCGGGAGAGGATAGCTTCTATGCAGTTCACTAGCACCAAAGTACATAAAGAGATTGCAGAACTTAATAAGAAGATAAAGACACTAGAGGAGAAGCGTGCAATATCTAGGTTCACAGAGGAGTGCCTCAGTGATGCTCTGGAGCTAGAGGGACAGACAGCAGGTGTGGGCCTGTTGTGATGTGCAGTGAAAGATCTACAAACGGCTAGCTTGTTTGTTGCTATGTTACTACAAACATGTTGGTATCAATTTATTACAAGCACATTAATATGTCTATGTAGGCAGGATCTTGTGCTCTTTGGCTCGTGGTGTGGATTTGGATCACCTTACATTTGATAGGTACTACCAAAATTTTACCATGTAGAATGTTCTTTCTTTTTTGTTTCTTTATTGTCCTGTTTTGCATTAACAAAATATAGGCTGACCCTTCCTATTTTATGTATGTTTATGCATTTGAAAAGGCACATGATCAATCAAAAAGGGTTACAATTCTATGTTAAGTGTTGGGATGTGGGTGGGTACACTACTAGAAAATGCATCTTTTGCTATGGACTTTTTTGTGATGGTGTAAATGACGTGGTAAAGATGTACTTTTTGAGATGGCAACATTCCCGTCTCAAATAATATGTTTATTTGTGACGGCAATATCGTAATGTCGGAAATAATATGTTTATTTGCATATTATTTGTGACGGAAATATCTTACTGCAACAGTATCGTTATTGTCGCAAATAAGTTTCTACAGAACCATGGCTTTTTGGAAATTCTCAAATGAGACTCATGATTTTGCCCCATCTGTTCTCTTAGTCGCTCTCTGCTTGCAGGTCACAGCTCTCTCGCTCTCTCTCGCTCTCTTTCTCTTTCTGAGGTTGCTCTCTCTCTGTCCGGCCCTCATTGTGGCCGCTACAACCGCAACGCCCACCGTTCCATCGCTTGTGTCCACCTTGTTTCACGTCCGACATCTTGACTGCCACCAGAGCTCTACCTTTTTCCTCCTTTGCCATCATGATCGCCACCGCAGCACGAAGACCAGAGGGAAACACCCCTAGCCTGTAACCCGTAAGCCCTCACCTTCCTCTTTCTCTCTCTCTCTCTCTCTCTCTCTCTCTCTCTCAATTTGTTTCAACCCACAAACTCACTTCAATTTTATAGTTATTACTATTTTGTTATTTTTTAAATTTCAATCCACAGACTCAAGGCTTTTCTTTAGATTGCTCCATCTTAGGAACCTTGTTTGGGAAATATGGGGACTTCAGTGGCATGTCCAATTTGAGTCCAAAGGCAAAGATGTTATACATAATGACAGTATGTGATGCTGTAAACAGCATGTTGAGTACCAAGGTCAAGAACATTACCAAAAATGTACTATTGAGTTGGTTTCACTGCTTCATGCTTGGCCACTTTGCTGGCTTTGAAATTCAATTTGCCTCTGGTCGTTTGACGAGAGTGGTGCGTTCTCACTTTGGTCTCCAAGCTGATGTTTCTACAGACCTCACCCTTGCCAAATTGGATGAAGAGATTGGAGAGCAACGTGCACTGTTAGATTCTAAAGAGATCATCGCTTCCGAACAAGATAGGGAGATTGATAAGCTCCGGGAGAGGATAGCTTCTATGCAGCTCACTAGCACCAAAGTACATAAAGAGATTGCAGAACTTCATAAGAAGATAAAGACACTAGAGGAGAAGCGTGCAATATCTAGGTTCACAGAGGAGTGCCTCAGTGATGCTCTGGAGCTAGAGGGACAGACAGCAGGCGTGGGCCTGTTGTGATGTGCAGTGAAAGATCTACAAACGGCTAGCTTGTTTGTTGCTATGTTACTACAAACATGTTGGTATCAATTTATTACAAGCACATTAATATGTCTATGTAGGCAGGATCTTTGGCTCGTGGTGTGGATTTGGATCACCTTACATTTGATAGGTACTACCAAAATTTTACCATGTAGACTGTTCTTTCTTTTTTGTTTCTTTATTGTCCTGTTTTGCATTAACAAAATATAGGCTGACCCTTCCTATTTTATGTATGTTTATGCATTTGAAAAGGCACATGATCAATCAAAAAGGGTTAAAATTCTATGTTAAGTGTTGGGATGTGGGTGGGTACACTACTAGAAAATGCATCTTTTGCTATGGACTTTTTTGTGATGGTGTAAATGACGTGGTAAAGATGTACTTTTTGAGATGGCAACATTCCCGTCTCAAATAATATGTTTATTTGTGACGGCAATATCGTACTGTCGGAAATAATATGTTTATTTGCATATTATTTGTGACGGAAATATCTTACTGCAACAGTATCGTTATTGTCGCAAATAAGTTTCTACAGAACCATGGCTTTTTGGAAATTCTCAAATGAGACTCATGATTTTGCCCCATCTGTTCTCTTAGTCGCTCTCTGCTTGCAGGTCACAGCTCTCTCGCTCTCTCTCGCTCTCTCTCTGTCCAGCCCTCATTGTGGCCGCTACAACCGCAACGCCCACCGTTCCATCGCTTGTGTCCACCTTGTTTCATGTCCGACATCTTGACTGCCACCAGAGCTCTACCTTTTTCCTCCTTTGCCATCATGACCGCCACCGCAGCACGAAGACTAGAGGGAAACACCCCTAGCCTGTAACCCGTAAGCCCTCACCTTCCTCTTTCTCTCTCTCTCTCTCTCTCTCTCTCTCAATTTGTTTCAACCCACAAACTCACTTCAATTTTATAGTTATTACTATTTTGTTATTTTTTAAATTTCAATCCACAGACTCAAGGCTTTTCTTTAGATTGCTGATTGGTAAATGTCATATACCAAAGTCCGTGACTTGCCTATATATATCAATGAAAGTGACAAGTTAGTACAAAGAATATCTTCTGCAAAGGTATGTTCTGTTTACATCGTTATAATAGTTTGACTGTACTAGCTTTAGAAATTTTTTTTTCCCCTCAGGATAATCTTACTTACAATTTTGTGCTCATCTTTGCATGTTAAACTGACATGTTATGCTCATCTTTCCCTTGATATTTTTTAATCTAAGGTTCTTATATCTTACTTTATCTTTGGCATAAATTTTGGAGCTCCATGTTCAGTGCTGAACACAAGAAAATTAATTCCAGTTGTTTAATATGGATACTCAGTGCCGAACAAAATATATTTTTCAGGATACTTAATTCCAAATATGTGAAGTTTGTTTGGATACTCAGGTCTAAACCATAGAAAATTGGTTTCAATTGTTTCATATGGATACTTTGGAGGTTTTTACCCAATAAACCCTCATGTCTCGTCGATACAAGCACGGAAAAGCACCACTTGGCACCCAATATACCCCATGTCTTGCCGATGCAAGTGTGGAATGGCACCTAATAAACCCCCATGTCTCATCCATACGAGCATGGAAAGGCACCACTTGGCACATAGTAAACCCTAGGTCTTGCTGATGCGAGCGTGGAATGGCACCTAATAAACCCTATGACTCATCGATACGAGCATGGGATAACACCACTTGGCACCCAGTAAACCCCACGTCTTGCCGATGCAAGCGTGGAATGACACCTAATAAATCTCCATGTCTTGTCAATACGAGATGGAAAGGCACGATTGGCATTTATTAAACCCCATGACTCATCGATAAGAGCATGGGATGGCACCACTTGGCATTTATTAAACCCTATAACTCGTCAATACAAGCATAGGATAACACCACTTGGCATTTAAATCTCCATGACTCATTGATAAGAGCACGGAATGGCATCACGTGTCATCTATTAAAACCCCATGACTCGTCGATATGAGTATAGGATGACAACACTTGGCATTTATTAAAGCCCATGACTTGTTGATATGAGCATGTGGTAGAACCACTTGGCATTTAATACCTCCATGACTCGTCGATACAAGCATGGAACAGCACCACTTGGCCTTTAATAAACCCATGACTCATTGATACGAGCATGGAATGGCATGGATTGGCATCATTGGCATCATTCGAACCACACTGCAGTGTGTTATTTGGAAAAGCTCTCCATGGAAAAATTTCCAAGATTGGCACAACCTGGAAAAGAATAGAAAAGAAACTGGCATAGGTACGACAAATATGGTAGGTATCGCCCGCTCTCCTATTCTTAGAATGCATGCTGGGATGATTGCTTAAGTGCTTGTTGCACACGCTCACTCAGGTATAAATTGTTGCAAAACTGCCCCCGAACTACACTAATATGATTCCTTGCATCAAGGATATGTTGGCAGCTTGCGAGTTCAATCACTTGCATGAATGTATGGCATTGCCTTAAGCCTTAGGGTTATGTCAATCGGGATGGTCTCGAATCTTTGATATTCGCTTCCCATCACTTCATGATTGTTTGAACTCTGTCAAAGAAGGGCAACTGTAGACACCCCATTTTGATTGACCCAAAGACTTCGGGAGCTTGCAAGCCTCTCGATAATGAAATGGTAAATTACTTCATCCTTAGAATGTTGAAGGATGTTTGGAATTAATGTGTAAACTTGTTTTGGCTAAAATTTGACTTCTTGCGAAAATGACAATTTTATCTCTGAACCCGTTTTTGGCCAAAAAATAAATTTTTGAACCCCGAGAAAGAGAGATAAGCCTGATTGTGCTTTGATCAAACGTATTTTCCAAAATCAGTAACCGGTTTTATCAAAAACATTGATTAGAAGACAATTCGGACTTACTTTGGCCACAAGCAAGCTAAGAACATGGAATGCATGCGGGGATGACATGTGTACCATGGACAAGGGTGGTTGTGCACCTTATCTGTGCATGCACACATCCAAGCATGATAGAGTTATTTTTGAAAACTCAATCTTGGTGCATTTTTTTTTGTGAGAGGCGGAGGGACAAAACAATGGAACCCTAGAAGAGGCTACAAAACCTTCTCCTCTCCCTATGAAAAGAGCCCCTTGCCCTCTCTTTCAAGGGGTTAAGGACTTGAGGCATTTTGAGAGCACTTGAGAGCCAAACACCACTTTTTCTTCTCCTCTTTGCCTTAGCCATGAAATTCCCTTACCTACAGCAACTCTAAGCCTCTGCAAGTCATCCTAAGGTCTGAAGAACTTGAACTAAGTCATAACCAAAGCTTGAGGGAGGCTTGTAAGCAAGAAAACCTTTATTTTCTTGCTATTTTCTTCGCGTGCCTTCGGTTTATATAAACCAGTAAGTAAAACTCTTCTATTTCTTATATTTCATTACCTTTTAGTCTCTTATTTTAGTATTCAAAACATGATAGGATATTAATTCATCCTCTCATCATGTAGTTTATTCATTTTATTCACTTTTTTCCTCCTTTTGCGTGTTTTCTTTATTTTATTAGAACAACATATTTTAGGCTTCATTTAATCACATAATAATCATGCATAGTTCGGTTTGATCATCATGTAATATTCTAGTATTTTTGCTTTTTATTTGGTAGTTGTATTTTATGCATAATCATCATGTTGGTAGCCTCAAACCAGGCCTCAGATAATTCTTGTATGTTTAGTTGTATCTATATAGGGTCATGTTTAATTTATGTATTGCATGAAAGAAGCATAAGTGGACATCCAGGTGAGTTTTCTTCACCTTCTTAGCATGTGTGTACTATTTGCATTGTCTTTTGAATAATGCAAGTCTATATGCTCTTTATGTACAAAATTGTGTGTTTTGTATGTTTTCATAAGTATTGTGTATTTTAGTTTATGTTTAAGGCCATGGATTATCAAAAATCCACTTTTAATAAAGAATTTCTTTTTATGAAACATATATGCCTTTATTCATTCAATCTAAAATAGATGATATTCATTTTTACTCAAATCACATAGTTTTTAGGTTAGTTAAGGGTTTTAGGGTTTAAAATGGATTGTATGAAATAATTAACAACTAAAATCATAAAATAGAAAGTGAGTAGAGACCAATTTTCGAATTGGGCAAAAGGGGGTGCCTCCATGAAAATGTTCTTCCCCTTTTCTACCTAAGCTCCCAAACTCGGAATTTTCTTGGTTGTGACGGCTTGGGCCAATCATTGTTAAAGGTTTCTTAATTCCCCTTCAAAAATTAAGTGGCAACTCTTTATTGGTCAAAAGAAGTCAGTGTGGGAAATGATGTTTTAGATTTGAAAAAGGCACGGCGCCCATACCTATGGACTTAAAAATATGGACTTATGAGCTTAGGGTTGGGATTGACCTATTTGGTCCTAATCAAGGTTTTAAAAAGCGGCCGCAACCATTACATAACGCCGTTACGTAACGGTTGTAGTGGTTACCGCCACCCGTTATGGCCGTTTTTGTTGTGTGATTGAGATTTACAGGTGTGTCGGCCGTAGCGGTCGTAACGGTGCCATAACAACCGTAACGGCTTGTTACGCACTGTTACGTAACAGTTCCGAACTGCTTCTTTCGAAAAAACACACAAAAAAAAAAGCTGAAAATGGGAGAAGAGGGATAGAGAGAAGAGGGAAGATAAAGAGAGAAAATGGAGGAGCAAGAGATAGAGAGAGAAGAGGGAAGATGAAGAACATGCTATTAATTTGTTTAAGCTGTAAGACCTATGCTATTCTATTTAGCTTCTATCACTCAATCATTTTGTTTGTGCGTGCCTATCTATATATTGTTTAATAATAATAATAATAAGTGTGGTCATTATCTATTTGGCTTGGTTAAAATATTTATATATATATATATATATATTTAAACTCTTATTTATTCTCTTACTTTTGTCATTGTTTATCTTATATATAATAGTTAGTGATTGATTTTTTGTATAATATAAAGTCATTAATTATTAAAACAAAATGAAAAAAACTCAGTTTATAGTGATTTAAAAATATGAAATATATTAGATCATATTTAAAAATTTACAAAAATTGATCAATATTTATTTTAAACCCAATAAATATGATCATGGAAAAAAAATATGCGTATCGGTAAATTTTTTTCAAATTGTGCGAAAAGTAAAAAAATTCATGGTTCCGGTTACTGCAACCGTTACGCTACGGCCTTTACACCCCGCAACCGCAACTGCGCCACCGCCACTGTTACGGCGACCGCAACCGCTTTTCAGAACCTTGGTCCTAATTCATTCCTAAATTTGGGTTCATTTTGTATATTCAAAATTCACGAGTGAATGAATAAAAAATTCTAACACAATTTTAGAGTGTATCACAAGAATTAGAATTGCATATTCAATAATGAAAATTAAAAAACTGGACTTTATTTACATAAATATAAAATTACATCCATTATGCTATTAAATTGAAAACAAGAGAGCAATTGCATCACTACAAGATAAATATATCCTAAATAGGTTGAAAACATACAAACTCGTCAAGATAATAATCAATTTATTCCATCAAAGAATACCCTAACATATAGCATAAATTGACTATACTAAAAAAATAATATAAGGGAATTGGGCTAAAATTATTTTTTTCTCTATGAAACTTATGCAGATGAAACTGCAATGGGACTCCTTACTATATGAATTCCATCACTCCACATGTACCAACCAAATGCATACTGGCCTGCCTTAGGCTTTGTTTTTGGCCTACTCTCCTCTTTGACTGTTATGAAGAAGTTTCTCTTCTCCCCTACTTCACTAAAAGACAAGATTGTTGGAGAGATCTCAACAGAAAAACCTATAGGAGGTTTGAAGGTCAACGAGTATACACACTTGCTTGCACCAACATTTGTGACAGTCCTCTTCACAGTGATGGTCCTCTTGAGTTTAGCAATTGCAAGAGATGGGTAATTAAGATTACTTGGTGAAGGTGGATGTTTTGGACATTTAAATGATGGATCGAGATGATAACCGGTGCTGCAAAGGAAGAGAAGGTAGTCTGTGTAAGTGGCATCGTAGACAAGGCCAGGATCTGCTGCATTAGCTGGTTGGAAATGGCCTGATCCATAGTGGAATGGGGTTGCCAGATTTTCAGCAATGTCTGTTATTGGTGTACCCATGTTATTATTTAGTGTCGCTGCCAAAAAGTAAAAAACAAATAAGCAATAGAAATGTTAAACTCTAAAAGTCTTGAATGTGCATTTTGCATTCGTACATTGATATTGAAGAGTACGTACCAGTAGTCATCAATGCAGATCTTATAGCGGCGCTACTCCAATTAGGATGTATGGCTTTTAGAAGTGCGGATACTGCTGCCACATGAGGGCAGGCCATGGAAGTTCCAGATTGTAAATTATAATTGACAACTCGATGATCAACATCTAGTTGTGTAGGAGAAATTGCTTCACTCCAAGCCGCTAGAATATTTAGTCCCGGAGCAGTAATATCAGGCTGCCAATAGAGCGATGTATCAAAATTTATAACTCTTCCACAGTGACATGATTTACCAGTTAAGCTATCAGGGATTATTGTTGTAATGGTCCGGGTCTAAGCCTGACATATATACGCTTTTACCACTTATGATAATTTGATCTGTGAGACTATAGTTTAGTATTATCCTTACTGTCATCCTAATTTATCATTCCGAACTTTAGAAAGAATTGGAGTGGTTTAGGTGTAACTTGTGAGAATTTGGAAAATTTCTAAGTTGCCTGTCAATCACAGCTCAGGGTGATCAATCGCTTCATCTGAGTTCTTACCTGAGTTTTTAGCTGTAACTAGCAATCGCAAAAGTGATCAACCGTAAAGAGATAGACCGCAAAGCAATTGCTTCACACTAAAATTTTAGAGCTTTCGAGTAGTAACTAGTGATCGATTTGCTTCATTGAGAACCAAATTTAAATTCTTCGGGCAGTGCATAGCAATCATTGTGTGCTCGCTCCCTTTTGTGTTACGATCAATCACTTTTGTCGTGCAGTTGATTGCTGTGGCGAGAATGACTTAAGTCCATTTTTCTTATTCTTTTTTCTCAATTTCTTCTCTCTTTCTCAGATTTTCTCTCCTCTCTCTACTTTCTTTGTCTATAAAATAGTTTGTAATACCATAAAGGTTCGATCTAAGCTACCTAGGGTTTGAGTTTGCCAAAATCTTGAGAACAAGCATCGTAGAGTACCTCGATGGCTTTGACTTCATTGGAGTCAATTTTCGATTCACACACAGTCGGGATTTGGGAATTTCTTCTCTTTTAGTGTAAGGTAGGGATTTTCTTTCTCTTGTAAATATAGATTGAAGTGTATATGTGGTATTTTCTTAATTATAGATTTTGGAAAAAAATGTAGCGATTTTATATATACATATTGTGCAAAACTAGGGCTTATGTAAATACTAACTTCTTACTAATAATTTCTTACCACAAAATATAATTCTTGAATTATAATTGAAATGTTATATGAAATTATAAAAAGCCCTAATTTTCTTTTATTGCAAAGAACTCAATTTGTCAATGTGAGAACGTATGGATTTTGTTGGAGATAGCCTTGTGCCTTGGAATAAAAATTTAGGAAGTTCTTTAATTAAAATATAGATGAGCATGTTTAGAAATTTATGTTGGTGGCAAGCAGTGGATGATTACAATTGTTGCAGTGATATAATAATAACTTAGGGAAAATGGATACTATTTTAGCATTGTGCATCGAGCATTCACATTTCATCATGAGAATCATGTATTTTGAATTGAATTGTTGATTTTGGAAATCATGGAATAATTATTGGTGAATCCGGATAGTGTGTATTATTTTTAAAATGTGATTAAGTTGGGTTGAGGTTCTTGGTGAAAGACCGAAAACCAGTGTGAAGTAGATATCAATTTCCTTCCAGGTAGGTAGTAACTGGTAAAGTGGGAGTGTTTTGGTAGCTCTTTATAGACTATTGGCAGATACTTAACTTGGGATGTACCACATTTTAGACTAATTGTAATTGTTGTGGAAATGTTGGAAATTTATTTCTTGAAACCTTGCATTGGATTTTCGGTACATGGAAATGAAAATTTTCTTACATAACACATATTGCATCCATGATCATATCCATTGTTGCTGCATATTTCTAGAACTAAATTTTTTTTCTACCAGACCTAGTGTTCATTCCTTGTTGTATAAACTTTTTAGGTGTTGATGGTGTGCTAGCACCATGATGATGGTCATGGAGACGTAAGAGCAAGAAGCTCTTTCTATTTTTATTTTTATTATGTGTGGACTAGGGCCTTATTTTGGTGTTTGACTGAAAGCCTTTGTTGCGGATAGGGCTATGCCCATTTTGTGCATAAGTTTGTAGGGAATTTTAATTGAACAAAGAGATGTGTACTTAATGACATGTTTCACATGTTTTATACTCATGCCATATAGTGATTAAATGTAGGATGCATGTGATCCTTGTAACTTCATGAAGTAGAATGAATTCTTGATTAAGGGATTGGCATTTAATTTCAAATGGTTCATTCCTTTTCGAATGAACCATTTGGCCCTTGAATTTTATTCAATTTCTTCACTAATGTTATTAATTGGATTAATTGGCATAATGTGAAAAAATAAAGGTCAATTAACGGAATTGAAATTGCATGAAACTAAAACTGGTAGTGTACTTTGCTTATAGGCCTATTTTGACTGACTCTAAAATTTTGGGCGCTTATAGGCCTCCCAGGAAATGATAATACTTCCATCCTTAGAATATTGTACTTTGCTTAAAGTTACTGTTATACCCTATTTCAGCAAAAAAAAAACCGACTTTTGCAAAAATGACCAAAATAACCCTATACTCATTTTTCAGCCAAAAATCAATTTTTTGACCCCAAGAGATAAGGGAAGCATGATTGCACTTGGATTGATGATATTTTCTAAAATTACTGACTGATTTTATCAAAAACATTGATCCAAAGGGCAATTTGAGCTTGCTTGGGCCAAAAGTCCACACCTAGCCATGCAAACCCGCACCTAACCTGCAAAGTTGATGCTTGGGTCCCTTACACGTGCATGGTGTGGCCACAACTAGATTGTGTGGCCGCACCTTCCCCGACAGACAAAAATGGAAACTTTGCAAGGATAGCAATGCAGAATTGAAAAGAGATGCTAGGGAGAAAGCAAATGGCTAACCCTAGCAGCCTCCCTTGGCTTCCTCCCCAAGCTAGGAATGCCTATAAAAGCACCTCTCTCTCTCCCCTCTCCCCTCCTCTTTTTCCACCCTCTCTCCTTCAAAGGGAGACAAAAATTGAACTTTTGAGAGCTTATAAGAGCGAAACCTTCCATCCCCTCCCCTCCCCTCACCGTTATTCCGAAATTTCCAAGCTAAAACAGTAACTAGACAACAACTAAAACCTTCTAAGGGCTTGGAGACTTGAACAAAACTCAGCACCTAAGCTTGAGGGAGGCCCACAAGCAAGAAAAACATAGCTTTCTCACTTTGTTCTTCGCATACTCTTTGGTTCTTGAAAACCAAAAGGTAAGACACTCTTCTTTTCTTATTTTTAGTAACCATTTTGCTTTATTTGAGTAGTTAGTCATGGCTTAGGCATTCATCCATTGTCTCCTCATGTAGTTTGCCTGTTCTTCTTGCTTTTTCACTTTATCTCGCATGTTTCCTTTGTTTCATTACAACAGGATGTTTTAGGTTTATTTTAATCATGTAATAAGCATGGATGACCCGGTTTGAATCATCATATAGGTAGTTTATATTTTTGCTTTTATTTGCTATTTGCCTCTTTGTGCATAGTCATCATGTAGTAGTCCCAAACTGGGCTTAGGATCATAGTTTGTATTAATAGTTGCATATTAGGAAATGTTTATTTCTTGTACTGCATGTAAGATGTGTAAATGGGCATTTGGGAAAGTTTTTCTCCAATCCCTTTGGCATATATGTGCTATTTGCATTGTCCTTTTCAATAATCCAAGTTAAATGCTTCCTATGCAAAATTGATTGTTGTGGATGTTTTTAATAAATATTGTTCATTTTAGGTCATGTTTATGGCCACGAAATATCTAAAAATCTCTTTTGTGGAAAAACCATTATTTTATGGAAATTTGGCTTTATTCATTGAATCTAAAAGGATATGATTTTTATTTTATTCAATCATCTAGTTTTAGGTTAGTTAAAAGTTTTAGACTTAAAATGAATTTGTATGAAATATTTACTACTAAAATCATAAAATAAAGAGTAGAGGCCAATTTTCAAATTGGGCAAAAATGATGTTTTCATTTAATGACTTTCTCTTTTTGTACTTAAGCTCCTGAGTCTAGACATTTTTTTGGTTATGACGGACTGATCCTTAACTTAGTTTTTATCTTTAAAGGTTTCTTAATTCCTCTTTAAAAATTAAGTGACAACTCTTTGTTGTCTAAGCAAGTTAGTCCAATGTTTGTATGGGAAATGGGCCTTAGACTCAAAAAATACATAGCGCCCACAGGTAGAAGAGGCAAATTATGGAGGCTAGGCTTGACTTTGTGACATTCAATTAATAATCAAATATAACAGCTTACGTACCTTAATAATATTAGGTTCAAGGCCATTTGGACCCAATGAGGTAAAGGGAGCCATGAATGGTGCTGGTTTACTACCCAAAATAGTAGTTCCTGGGATTAATGTTGCCGTTGGATTCACATTAGTCCTTGTGTAATTGACAATTGTAGCTATGTCATTCAGTCCTACTGTTGTTCCTGTAAGTAATTGAGCTCCAAGGGGCATACCACTGTCACTTCCGTAGGTGTTTACTAGGACAATACCTACACCTCCTACTCTTTTCACCTCCATAGCACTCTGGACATTGAATCCCAAACAGACAACAATCTTTCCTTTTACAAGCTTTGGTGAAAGGGTACCGGGGAGGCAATTTCTGAAAAATTCAATCAAATATTTGATATCAATGTATACCCCCAAAACAAAGAAAGTGAACACAAAAATGAGAATGGTCACTCCAATAAAGAAAGATTATTTCTAAAGTTTTTTTCTTCAGCATTTTCAGAAATTTGGCAATAAATTATTATTCCTAGCGTTTTTAACAAACTCTGTAATTTGTACTATAATTCTCAGTGTTTTCTTAAACAAGAAGAAAAGCTTCACAAATTTGGCAACAAAATAATATCATTTTGGGGAAGGATGTCAGATAATCATCAATAATTAGATTTTAATGTTTTCTTTTTCTTGGTATTTACTGAAACTCTGGAAATTATATCCTCCCTGCGAGTTTTTAGGAAACTCTATTCTTTTAGAAAACAAAGCAATATTGTTTCCTTCCAATTGCTTGCATGAAAGGTACCAAGTAGACACTGTCTGGAAGATCCAATCATATATTTAAGATCAAGTCATGAGATATTAAAACAAAAAACAAAACAAAACAAAAAATTGAATATAGAAATGTGAATGATTAGTAAAGTTTAGTACCCAGTTATATTCGGGGTTGTTCCTGGGAGTTCTGCATCTTGTGCATAAACTAGGTGGTGCATCCTTCTTAGTTTAAGCGGAGTGACTGTCTGTCCCTGTTTATTAAGAAAGTAGCCAAAATGAAAAAAGAAAATTTGTAGATAAAATTTTTGTAAATTTTGGGGATCAATTTGACTAAATTAAAAGATCGCAGACTAAAGCAACAAAACACGTTTTTTCAAGGTTCCAATCGTTTGATTATGCCTTGAGGTGCATCTTGTGCATAAACTAGGTGGTGCATCCTTCTTAGTTTAAGCGGAGTGACTGTCTGTCCCTGTTTATTAAGAAAGTAGCCAAAATGAAAAAAGAAAATTTGTAGATAAAATTTTTGTAAATTTTGGGGATCAATTTGACTAAATTAAAAGATTGCAGACTAAAGCAACAAAACACGTTTTTTCAAGGTTATTGGTCTAATTTGTCATTAGTAAATGAAGGCTTGGCCTTGGTCAAAAATAATAGTGCCATATGTATGTGTGTGTCTGTATATATGTATGGCCCAATATACAGTCAAGGATCTTTTCTCTTATGCGGTGTTTGGTTGGGAGATTTGGGGAGGGATTTGGAAATGAAAAGAGAAAATGTGTGTGAAACTATTTGAAATATAGGCATGATTTATTCACATTTCATCTTCCTTTTCCATTTCCCTTTCCAAATCCCTTCCCAAATCCCCCAACCAAACACAGCATTAGAGGATTCCCAAATCTCATTTTCCTTTCCCAATGCAATCCCAATCGTTTGATTATGCCTTGAGGATTACATAATCTTGAGATTTTCACATATAGATATAATGGTTGAAAGTGCTTTGAGATAAGGCAATGTAATGATCTAGGAACAGAGGATCTAATGTCATATATATATTGTGTAAAATTAGAGTTTTACCTGAATTTTCATTTGATTTCCTAGCACAAGAGGTGAAGGAAAAACTCTATCAATGCTACTTGCAGCAACAGTGATGATCCATGGAGCCACATTAGTGACAGTTGAAGGAGTTGGACCTGAGTTGCCAGCACTACATGCCACTACAATGTTTCGCTTTGCAGCATGCAATGCTCCAATTGCAACCCCGTCTTGTGTGTATGGAATGCTTTGATTACTTCCAAGGGAGATGCTAAGAACTTGAACACCATCGGCAATTGCGTCATCAATGGCAGCAAGTATGTCATCGTCTAGGCATGTGTTTCCGTCAGATTTGGGCTGGCCTGGAGTTGGCCAACATGCTTTGTATATAGCTAGTCGGACAAGTGGGGCCCCACCGGAGGCAGTACCATGGGCAAAGCCACCAATGGCAGAAGCGTTCATAACTCTACGGCCTCCAACAATCGATGCTGTGTGGGTGCCATGTCCGTCCTTGTCTCTAGGTGACCGGTAGTCCTCTGCATTATTGAGACGACCAAATGTTGCCTCATAACTCTTTATGTAGTATCGAGCCCCAATTAGTTTCCTACAATGTAAAAGCCCATTTAATAATGCCACAAACTCAAAAAATAAAAAATAAAAAATAAGGATGCAGTGTGGTTGGTTGGGGTGTTGGCTGCATCTAAGATTTATACAATGCTACTAAACTTCGTTCTTGAAGTTTTTGTGGAAAAAATATATATTATATCTTCTTGTACTTGCACAAAACCTTTGTAGCTAAGGGACAAAGCTCAAATTACAATTTACAAGTTTCCTAATTAACATATGATGTTTTCAAACTAATATCCATGTTTGCATGTTTAAAATATTGTAGTAGAAATAATTACATAAAATGAAATTACCTATTACAATGGGATTTGTTGAAAGCAACACCAGTTTGACATTTTCCTTTCCATGACTTTGGGATTGGTTCCATCCCTTCATCACTGAAACTTTGTGACTCCGGCCATATACCTACACCATTACAAAAAATTATATAAAATTAAATAGTACAAAGACAATAAGTATAGCCCTGGAAGAACAATCCGTCAATACAAATCAAATTTCTGTTAGCATTGTGCAAACGACAAAGGGGTAGTCCAAGTGGTAACGACCTCCTTTACGACACAAAGTCTGGATTTCGAGTCTAGTTCTCTTGATATACACTTATGTTGTAAATATTATTACCTTCTTAAAAATTAGTATAGTGAAAACAAAGAAAGAGCATAAAGAAGGGGACGAAATAGAAAAACATAAAAAGTAATTCATGAGTAATTCATCTAGATTGACTCACTTAGGAGCATTTGGATCAAAGAATGACAAAATGATTAACTAATAAAATTCAATGTTATGCAGTGGCCTACTATAGATTTTGGATAAATTATTTGGTTTAAGCATTCAGCAAATTTATTTGTATACATTAGGGCGATTAAATTTTGGTGAGTAATACTAATTTTTTTACAAAGTTATCATCTTCCTGTTTGTTCGTGATTATTTTTGTTGCATACTAATTGAACTCATTGAATAAGACTATAGTTTATATATCTAACTTACCACTATCGATCATTCCAACGATGACATCTTTTCCATAACTGGCTTTATGCAATAGTTCTTCATATGGATATGGATGGTTGGCCTCTCCATTACCTGCCTCAAGCAAGCTTATAAAATCCCATGATCTTGTGGTATGAAGCCTGTGCTTTTTTGGGTGGCTGCGAAACACTGAAACCACTCCCTTCATCTCTGTCAAGAACCACAACTTCCAATGTTGGGAAATGAACCAAATTTGTGTGTGTAATGGTATAGGAAGACAGATGGGTATCGAACATGGTATAGGGTATCCACAGTTTAAGCGGTATGTATTGAGCAAGGATCCTCTAGAGTGATTTTTCTCTAAAGTTTCCTAGAGTGCTACATTGTGTGGTTGAGATTTACTGACAAGTCACATCAATTTTTCTGATGTGACTTGCCAGTAAATCTCAACCACACAATATAGCACTCTAGAAAACTTTAGGAAAATTTCACTCTAAAGGATCTTTGGTGCCAATTTAGAAGTGTTTTAACCCAAGAAGTCGATGAAGGAATTTTTTAACCATTTAGTTCCATGTATGTATATTTTATTCCATAAAGTCCATTTTCTTGATTTACACCATTTTCTTGGACACTTATGCTATTTTAGTAGGCTATTTTAGTTTTTGGCTATTTTAGTAGGTTAAAATTTTTGTGTTTGGAAAGATGATTGAATTTTTTTGTGGTTGGATGTGATGTTTGTGAGAGAAAAAGTGAAATGATTATGGATTTGATGTGATAGTTTGTCTTATTAGCTATTTTAGCCTATTTTATCTTTTTGTGAATTTTAGCCTAAATTAAGCTATTTTTTTTCTTCCCAAACACCCCCATTATATCTTCTTGTACTTGCACAAAACCTTTGTAGCCAAGGGACAAAAACCTTTGTAGCCAAGGGACAAAGCTCAAATTACAAGTTTCCTAATTAACATATGATGTTTTCAAACTAATATCCCTGTATATGTGATTGCCTGCCATTCACTTTTTTTCCTATGTAAATACAAAATCAGATTTGTACAAATTTATATCAAATTTGACATATTGTTCTTATACTCTCACTATAAATATAGCACTAGATCCTCTGTTCCTAAAGTGGTGTGTATTAAAAAATAAATAAAAAAAAAAAAAAAAAAAACCACAAGTGAAAGTGTTGTTCAAATTCGTTCTTGGTATGATTCCATTGCAAAAGGAATAAATTTGAGACCCAACAACAATATTCAAATTCATGTTTGCATGTTTAAAATATGGTAGTAGAAATAATTACATAAAATGAAATTACCTATTACAATGGGATTGGTTGAAAGCAACACCAGTTTGGCATTTTCCTTTCCACGACTTTGGAATTGGTTCCATCCCTTCATCGCTGAAACTTTGTGACTCCGGCCATACACCTACACCATTAAAAAATTATATAAAATTAAGTAGTACAAAGACAATAAGTATAGCCCTGGAAGATCAATCCGTCAATACAAATCAATTTTCTGTTAGCATTGCGCAAACGACAACGGGGTAGTCCAAGTGGTAAGGACCTCCTTTACGACGCAAACGACAACGGGGTAGTCCAAGTGGTAAGGACCTCCTTTACGACACAAAGTCTGGATTTCGAGTCTTGTTCTCTCGATATACACTTATGTTGTAAATATTATTACCTTCTTAAAAACTAGTATAGTGAAAACAAAGAAAGAGAATAAAGAAGGGAACCAAATAGAAAAACATAAAAGTAATTCATGAGTAATTCATGTAGATTGACTCACTTAGGAGCATTTGGATCAAAGAATGACAAAATGATTAACTAATAAAATTCAATGTTATGCAGTGGCCTACTATAGATTTTGGATAAATTATTTGGTTTAAGCATTCAGCAAATTTATTTGTATACATTAGGGTGATTAAATTTTGGTGAGTAATACTAATTTTTTTACAAAGTTATCATCTTTCTGTTTGTTCGTGATTGTTTTTGTTGCATACTAATTGAACTCATTGAACAAGACTATTGTTTATATATCTAACTTACCACTATCGATCATTCCAACGATGACATCTTTTCCATAACTGGCTTTATGCAATAGTTCTTCATATGGATATGGATGGTTGGCCTCTCCATTACCTCCCTCAAGCAAGCTTATAAAATCCCATGATCTTGTGGTATGAAGCCTGTGCTTTTTTGGGTGGCTGCGAAACACTGAAACCACTCCCTTCATCTCTGTCAAGAACCACAACTTCCAATGTTAGGAAATGAACCAAATTTGTGTGTAATGGCATAGGAAGACAAATAGGTATCGAACGCGGTGTAGGGTATCCACAGTATAAGCGTTATGTATTGGGTGACCGTAAATTTTTTTAAATCACTAGTAAAAATAAATAAAACAATTTTATAACAACAAACCAATCGATTTTGAATTATCACGAACCAACTTATATACAAGTATTATCGATTTTAAGGTGCATTTATATTAAAAGGTCAAAAGACCAATATATATCAGTGATGAACAGTGAATGAATATCATGTTTGTTTTGTTTATGGAGGTCTGGATTCGTAGTCTCGAAGGGCCTTGGGCGAGTGGATTACAAGTCTGGGCAAGGAGATGATATTAGAAAATAGTCCGTTTGGCTTGAGGTATTACTGGATGTCCATCCTACAAGTCAACCGACCAAGTGCAATTTTTTATTTTATTTTTTTTACATGTTGAGCAGCATATTTTGAAATAGTGTTATTTGATAAATTGTATTTTTTTGTTAAGTAAAAACCATGGTTTTTATTTGTTTTATTATTTTATATAAAAATAATTTAACAATCTCCAAACTACCAACTATCATCAAAACAAACACAATTTTACTTAATCCACTCATTATCAATCTCCTCTATTCTACTTTTGAAAACAAACAAGCTCATATTCATATGTATTTGTAAAATATATCATAGAATTATCTCTTTAACTTTTTAAAAATATTTACTAGCTCTATATTTCATTAATTTTTCAAAATGTATAATAAGATGATCTCTATCTATTTCATATACTACTTAAATAGCATCAATATGATGTATTCAATTTTATTTATACAATAGGTGTATATCACTTCTTTTTATTTTTTATTTTAAAAATAAGAAAGACACATGCTTTTATTTACTACATTTTGTCAACCAACAAAATGGCTTCATTAATAGTTCATAGCTTTAGAAAAGAATTGAAAAAAAAAATGTTAAATGCATTTTTTTCTCCATAAAGTAAATTTTTCACATCCCTAATGTAAGAAATTACTTTCTATTAATAATGTACCAAATTATTGTTTTTTACGCTATCACATTGGCCCTCCATATATAATTTTTGGTTTCACCCTGCTACCAACTAATATTTATAGATTTGGCCGTGTTTAGTGGACTGGACTAGTCCAGTCAGGCTCGTAGGTCCACCACAAGTCTTATTTTATTGATAAGAATTATTAATTTTTTAATTTATAGTGTGTAAATTATTTATTTAAAAAACAATTCATATTAATCCTGTAATTGTAATCAGACAATTCTATTATATTTATTTAAGAAAATGTAAAATTATAATTCTAAAAATAGACCATATTTTTTGAAGACACGTATAGTCATTATTATTGAATCAATATGATATTTGACAAGAGAGAAGTTGCATTCAATTTATATTATAAGCTATTGATGTACATTATCTTTGCAAATTCCAATTTTTTTAATGCCAAAACATTTACCTGATAATTTGGAAGCTTCATCCTGTGTGAGTAATGCCGAGAAGCCATTGATGACATTCTTGTAGCTGTAAATAAGAGAGGCCTTAGCTTCTTCTTTGGAACCCTTAACAGAGAACAGATACGAGTGATGATTGTCTTTAATTTCATGAGACTTTTTCTCTCCACTGTGTTCTCCAATGTATACAATATAGACCTGTCAAATACATATTTATCATGATAATTCATAGTAAAAATCATGGAACAGAGAGCAGATAAAGGATAAATGAAGCAGCTGAGGCAAAACCTGGCGTGGTTGAGGCTGCTCACGGTGTTGTGCAGATGATGATGAAGAGGCAGAGAGATGAAGAATGAGGAGGAGGAGAAGCCGTAATATATTGGAAGATTGGTTCTTCATTTTTCGTAGATTGATTTTTAAGATTGCTTGCTTCCACAGTTTGTTGGTGTACATTTGCTATTAGTGTAGCATTTATATGTGGAGAAATGAACTTGACCTTGTCTGACACGTATAGTCATTATTATTGAATCAATATGATATTTGACAAGAGAGAAGTTGCATTCAATTTATATTATAAGCTATTGATGTACATTATCTTTGCAAATTCTAATTTTTTTAATGCCAAAACATTTACCTGATAATTTGGAAGCTTCATCCTGTGTGAGTAATGCCGAGAAGCCATTGATGACATTCTTGTAGCTGTAAATAAGAGAGGCCTTAGCTTCTTCTTTGGAACCCTTAACAGAGAACAGATACGAGTGATGATTGTCTTTAATTTCATGAGACTTTTTCTCTCCACTGTGTTCTCCAATGTATACAATATAGACCTGTCAAATACATATTTATCATGATAATTCATAGTAAAAATCATGGAACAGAGAGCAGATAAAGGATAAATGAAGCAGCTGAGGCAAAACCTGGCGTGGTTGAGGCTGCTCATGGTGTTGTGCAGATGATGATGAAGAGGCAGAGAGATGAAGAATGAGGAGGAGGAGAAGCCAAAATATATTCGAAGATTGGTTCTTCATTTTTCTTAGATTGATTTTTAAGATTGCTTGCTTCCACAGTTTGTTGGTGTACATTTGATATTAGTGTAGCATTTATACGTGGAGAAATGAACTTGACCTTGTCTTATATTCTATTTATCATTATATTTAATTTAATAGAAAACGGATATGAAAGAAACTGCATGCGTAAGATACTACTCTTCAAATTGGAAGGAGTCATGCTTGACCCAAAAAAACAAAACAAGAAAGGAGTATTTATCCGGGAAAAGTTTGAATAGGTTCTACTTTATCTAAAAAAAATTCATTGAATCGTATTTCAATATATGAATCAACTTTCTCAGCATAAAGTTGGTAGGTAAGTGAATTTTTTTTTTAAGAGGATGACTTATTTGATATTCTTTCTGTTTCGGCTGTAGTGTTTTGCCAAGTTTTTTTATTCAATTTTGAACTTTATTTTTTAATTTTTTTTGACAACATAATGTACCACAGTTCCAAACTATGTGAAAAAAATAAAAATAAAAAAAAGTCAGACCTTTTGAAATCGCATATTAAAATCACAATTTCATCAAGATGTGATGAATTGGTCAGATGTCATCTTGGTAACTTTTTTTTTTTTTTTTTCCTTCTTCTTCTTTCTTTCTTTTTCTTTTTTCTTTTTCAACTGGTAGTAGAGTAATTCCAATAGAGTGATTGACTCAATTTTATCCTAAATTTTAAATTTTGTATCAATTTGATCTAATAAAAAATGATTGCCACATTTTTTTACAAAGAATTCGCATGGGAAGTGCACATGGGCAAAATTGAAAATTTATAAATCTATCAACTCGGTGAGTTAGCTCATACTCAAAAAGCTAACTCATATAAATAAGAACATATATATGCATAGAGAAGGAGAAGGATAAGTGTTAATGAAATGACTCCAAAATGCGTATAAGAAATCATTTTTATTTATCTATGAGAGAATGTGTTTTAATTTAATTATATCTATTAGAATTGACGCACTATCTGTTGAGTTACGGACTTCAAATTGAAATTACCGACCTTTATGGGTTCAGAAATCAAAATTGAGTACTTGAGTATGTTAATGGGAATTTTTAGAACTATTGGGAAAAAATTAATTGGAAATCTAATTGGTCTGATTCGTTAATACACGTTTAGGTGGTTAACTTTGTACTGCAAATTGAAGATCCTAGAGACTTCAGAAACCAGAACAGGGGACATATTTATGATCAGCACAATTTTTAGAGTCACTTGGGAACTTTAATTGAAATTTGATTTTGCGCGATTCGTAAGGCCACGTTTGGTTCTCCCTATTGTGTTAAGCCTTGTGTATGTGTTTATTTAGATATATAGATATGTTTGTGAGTGTTTGGTCTCATCTTTTGGAAGCCTAAATATCTAAAAGAGAGAGAGGAGAACCGTGGGGGAGAAAAGAGAGGGGAGACCAAGAAAAGCTTAACAATCATGGTGGTTTGAAGGGAGAACAACCATGGAAGCTTGGAGAAATCAAAGAGTGAACTAAGGTAAGATTAATTATCTTGAATCCTTATGTTTGAGACATCAATTTCATGAAATCATGATAATAAGGGAAGCTTTGAACCCATTTGAGTTGGGGTTTTATGTATATATATTGATTGAACCTTGATCTCCTTAGAATTTCTTGATTGAAGAAGTATAGGCATTATATTTGTTTATTTTGAGGTTATGATGGTTGATGGAGAATAATAATGTGAAATTGGTCATGTATTAAAGGGTTTTGGACTTTGATTTACATGTAATTAAGGTTTGACTTTGAAAATGAAAAGTCCCAAATTTTCATCCATTTTCGGACTGCAAACTGTCCAGGCCGCACGTGCGGCACTGTTCCCCCGCACGTGCGGAGACAGCTCTGTCCAGCCAACTTTGAACAAGCATATCTTTTGTATTTGGACTCCGTTTTGAGTGATTCTTGAGCCTAAAATCAAGCCCCGGAAGTTTAGTTTCTAATGGCAGTGATCTCACGCCCAAATTCCAAATACAGAAATAGTTATGCCAAAATTAGTGACGACTGTTCACTTTCTATCAACCAGTTTTGTACCATTTCTTCACCTAAACCATTTCCCATCAATTTCTCCTGTTTTCTGAGACATGGATTATAACTTATTAAAGAATAATGAGCTTGGTGCCACCATGGCTAATTGATTGAATGATCAAAGAGAATAAGTAAAGGATCGAGTATAATCTCATATAATGTGTTGTGCAATGTACTTGTAGGTCGAGACGAGGACATCATCCCAGTACTACCAGGAGCCGATCACTGTGAGTAATAGTACTACAAATGTACATTATTTACCGTTAAGAAATATTCTTAACAACATTCTATTCTCCGTGAGCTAATATGTTAACATGTGTGTTGATTGGGAATTGAGGTGAACCTTGAAAGAGTTAGCACACATCGGTATGACTCTGAACCTACTCCGTATTTTGGGTTATGGCTAATGATTATTGTCAATGTACCATCCTAAGAATTACCTATGATTTTGTATAAGAATTTCATACAAACTATTAACACTGTGAAGTTGGGTAATAGAAAAGAATTGCGTATTAACGACATTATTATGTAATTCATGTTATGATATGAATTGTTCTGGCCTGTTGATGTAATGGTATATTTACCTTTGGATTATTGGTAATGTTAAGGTTCTGTTAATTACGAAACAAGTATGTCTACTTACAAAGAACCATGAGGAAATCTAAGCGCATCATTGTACCATATATTCTGTTTGCTATTGACAATTAATGTCACCATTCTGTTATCTGCTAGTTAGTGGCATTGAAACATGATAAGCAAATGAGATGTATATGCATTATGGAACGGTGGTATCTACGTATTTCTGAAAGCGTTCATGCTGTAAAATATGGTTACCTTTTGCTAACAATTATCGGTAACGTTCTATTAAACTTATGTTATCTATGTTTATTCATGTGATTAATGGGAAGAATGTGTTTATCTATTTTAATCTGTTCTGATGTTTTCTGGTATGGAACAAAGTGCTGTACGGAACTAAGTGCTACACCTTGGTGGGAGCCACCTCTAGAATCCGTACGAGCCACCTCTAGAATCCGTACGAGCCACCTCTTGAGTCCATACATCCATTATTTCTGGGCCGATGGCTGTTCTATTATTTCTGTTATTTCTGGGCCGATGGCCGTTCTGTTATTTCTGGGCAGATGGCTGTTCTGTTATTTCTGGGCTGATGTCCGTTCTGTTATTTCTGTTATTCGTGGGCCGATGGCCATTCTGATATTTCTGGGCCAATGGCCGTTCTGATCTGTATCTGTAGGCCTATGGCTATTCTGTATATGCTGGGCTTAAAGCCACTCTGTCACGGAAACTGGACCCATGGCTGTTTTGTAAATAATTACGGAATGCAGTTAATCATATGTATCTGCAGTTATATCTTTTATTATTCAGGTTAAACATTACATTATTTATGTACTATTATTCACTGAGTTCGCTCATTCTGTATTTTGTCTGTCTATTTCTATAGGTAATCAACCGGGAGTTCAGTCCTAACCTTTAAGGCTCGTCTTTCTCTTGTCAACTTTGATGCATCCAGGCACCTACCTGAAGTCGTGCATTTTGTAAAGTGTTGTTAGGTTATTGGCTTATACTTTGGTTGTCTTTCATTAATATTTTCGTTACACGCCCAATTGTGGGTCTAAGTATGAATGTATAAGTGTGTAACCGAAGTTCGGGTGTATGTTTCTATATATTATGTACCTAATGCAATGCGTGCGGTCCTGGCATGGTAGTGGTAGCTCAATGGATGATGTTTTATGTTATTTTATAATGGTAATACTTCCGCTCAGGCCCCATATGTTATGTATAACAGGTTAAGTGTCTGTTTCTGAATAGGTCATGCCCAAAACTTTTAGGGGCGGGCTTGGGGCGTGATAGTTAATTATGTAATTTAATTTTGATGATATCTAAGATATAATTTGATAAGTTGTAATTTTTTAATATATGTATTTTACATTCTTTAACACAAAATATTATATGTTTAAAATATATGTTGTATGATGTATTTATTATAAATATTATTTAAATCGAAATTACTGTGCAAGATCTGATTTAATTTTTTTTTATAACATTTACTATTTACGTTTTGAAAAATACGGTTGGTTACTATTTATCTTTTGACATGCTAGTTACTGTGCAACATTTGAAAATCATAAAATTTGAAAGAAAATCAGAGGATCACTATTCATAGAAGGTGACCTGGCAAATATTTTCAAACGGAACGTTGCTCTGCATGCTATAAAGTCAAGACAAAGAGCGTCTACCTCAACAGATATAATTTTGTGTATATATAGAAGTGTTTTGGTAAGAGAAAAATAAGAAATGAAGAAGAGAAAAATCTGTGATATTGAAATATTCTAAAATATTATATTGTGCTTCATTGAGTTATATTTTATGTGAGAAAATTCATTGAGAGTTTGAGCAAAATTGTAAAAGGGTTTTCTATCCCTTATTCATATTATTCTTGTAAAAAGAGAGTTTTTGTGAATGAATTTTTATGATAAAATCACTTGAATGATGTGTGACTAGGCACTGAATTCCAAACTAATCGCAGTAATCGGGATTGGTCACTTGTTGTAAAGGTTCACTAGTACCTGTGAAACTAGACGTGTAATTACTATTTGAAAAATAGTGGAGAAATTTTCGAGGAGGATACTTGGGGAGTGGATGTAGTCCCGGCGTGCCGAAGCACTATAAATCGCTGTGTTTGATTTCTCTTCCCTTTGCTTTTTTTATTTCATTACTTTATTTTATATTGTTGAGCGTATTTATTTATTTATTATTGGGGTTAATTTTCAATTTGACAATTTATTTGAAAGTCCAATTCACCCCCTCTTGGGTTGCTTACCTAGGGCAACAATTGATATCAGAGCAAGGGCTCTTATTTATTTTTTGACTTAACCGTCTAAGAGTACATCATAGCAACCAATTTTGATGTTTATTTTGTTAAAGGTCAATTGCCCTCTAGACCACCATTGTTTTATGGTTCAAATTATACATCCTTGAAAGTAAGAATGAAAATTTTCTTTCAAGCTTTAAACTATGAGCTATGGAGAACTATAGTCAATGGTCACAAGATGCCCTCCAAGACCATCCAAGGACGAAT